TACAGTTATTGAGGTTCATTTCATCTCTAGACTAAACTAGATTTCACCAGAAAATGGCACATTTGTAAATACTTTGCCCTTTTAATGAAGGCTGGATTAGGTGGTGCACGCGATGCGACTAATATAATCTCAAGTTCAGATCTTGCAGTTTCCATTATCACAACAATTGGTGAAGAACATCTGGCTGCATTAGGGGGCTCTTTGGAAACTATCACAGTTGCAAAATCAGGCATAATTAAACATGGACGCCCAGTTAGGTGGTTTCTAAGTGGGCCATATCTTCTTCATCTGGCGATAAGCATAAAAGTTTTTTATAAATTTTTTTCAGGTGGTTCTAGGCGGGCCCTACCTTCCACACATCGAGCTCATTCTTCGCAATAAAGCATCTTCATGTTGTTCTCCAGTAATCTCCGCATCTGATCCTGGAAACACAAGTGTGATTAAAGGCATTACCAATGTCTCTGGTATTCCTTTCCAAGTATCTGATATCATACTTCACATTAACAGAGACTTACAACTGGTATGTAATGTGAATGCCCTTTTCAGTTATGAATGTGTCCAGATAGACATCAGCCACTTTATCCTTAGGAAAAAAAAGAAAGAAAAGAAACAACGCTTTATGTAGTTTTATTTATGCAGTAGTGAAATGTGAGAATAATATTTTGTTGTTAACTTATGTAGTCTTTTGAGGTGTATGATGTAAAATTGCGTTTGCTGGGATGGCATCAACTTCAAAATGCTGCAACCGCCACATGTGCAGCACTCTGTCTTCGTGATCAAGGTGCTGCCTGCGTTTGTTTGAAAGAGTTGTTGTTATAAATAAATAAATAAATAAATATTTGTAATTTGTGGAATTCCATTTCCAGGATGGAGAATATCAGATGGATCCATTCGTAGTGGTCTAGAAATTACACACTTACCGGGAAGAAGCCAATTTTTAACATCTGAAGAAACAGAGGCGTTAGGACTACCTGGTGCTACCATACTACTGGATGGAGGTTCAACTTCAAATGTGAATGTTGTTTTTTTTTTTTTTTCTATGAATTGAAAAGAAAAAGAAAGTTTGATTAATTAATTCATTAATTCATTCCAGCACATACCAAGGAATCTGCCAAGGCTTTGGCTGACATGATTCAGATTACATCTCCGGAAGCAGCTTTGGTTTTTGTGGTTGCTATGGCAAGTGACAAAGACCATCAAGCATTTGCAACAGAATTACTTGCAGGTGCATGTGCTTCTTTCATACTAGTTCTTGTTTGACCAAATTTCATGAAATAGCAATAAACAAATATTTTTTTTACAAATATGAAACTATAATATATATATATATATATATATATATATATATATATATATATATATATAATATATATATATATATATATAACATGGAAGTATGAATGTGATAAATATCGAAAATACCCCTCAGAAATAAACTTGTAAGTAACATTGATAACTCTTATGTTGTTGTTGCTGCAGTGAGGCGACCGGTTGCGGTATTGTTGACGGAAGTTAGCATTGCTGGAGACCGGTACAGGAGTGCTTCTTTGTCCTTGTTAAGAGATGCTTGGATGGAGGCGTGTAATGATTTGGGTATTAAAATTTATGAAGAAGAAGAAGATAGGCTGAAAAAACATGATGATGGTAATGGTATGTTACTGTTGAATGGTGGTTCGTTGATGGAGTCGATGAGGGTTGGAGATGAGATCATTCAATCGAGAAGAGCAGCAGCAGGTGTTTTAGTGGTTACGGGATCCCTGCATATTGTTTCTTCGGTTTTATGCTCCCTCTGAACTCGGTTTCTGTTTCTTGGAGGATCTTTCAACTTGTTTTCATGTATTTAAAGATTTCATATCTCTGTTCAATGTTCCAAATATCAAATGTTCTTCAAGGACCGTTGGAATTCACCTTCAAAATGGTTCAATGGAGTTTCGTTTGACACTTCGAATTTGTTAAGATTAATTACAGATTTATATTTAGGAAATTTTCAGAATACTCCTTATATTATTATTTCATTAACAACAAATGTTCAGAAAAGTCTTGTATTGTTGCTTCTGTAACCTTACTTTATTTGTAACGTCTTAAAACTTAAAATCAAAAATTTTATTTTATATTAATAAAACCATCAACCAAACATGTTAATAAAAACCATAAAGGAAAATCAGAGTATATCAATCAATCATCCAAAATACATCAGGGTTAAATGAGGCGGAAATCATGGTGTGTGCAATGCGATCATCCCGAGCTCTTCCCCTTAGATCCGGAAGCACCTGAAACATAAACCGAAAACCGTAAGCATGAAGCTTAGTTTAGTGAGTTCCCCAAAATACCGCATACCATACATATCTGTCAGCTCAAGGCTGTGTCAGGTCTATTTCACCTCCGAGCCTATTTCAACTCATGTGTCGGCCCAAGACCGTACCAGGTCTATTTTACCACCGATTCTATTTCAACTCATATGTCAGCACAAGGCTGTACCGGGTCTATTTCACCCTCGAGTCTATTTCACCCCACATACATATAACAAACATGCACACATGCATACATACATACAACAAGAGTCACAAAGACTACAAACACATACAATCCTAGTGTCCTACAGTGAGCAAACTCACCTCAGTCTGCTGTCAGTCAAACGGATGCTCGGGCTGTTGAACCGGGGAATCATCGCGCTAAAATAAAACCCCAATTAATAACTAGGCCATAAACCATATCCGAGAATCTAATTTATTAGTCCCAATACCCAGAGTAAAAGACCATTTTACCCTTACCTCACTTGGCCTAATAACCGAGGCCCAAATCCAATGGAACTAAAGCCCAATAGTGACCCAATTCCTAAAGGACACCCCAAAGCCCCCTATGGGCCTAAATACAAAAGGCCCCAAAGCCTATCAATGGCCTAAAGTCAAAAAACTAGTGGCCCAACAAGGTCCAAAAACCGAACATCGCGTCTCACGGCGTGACCAATTCTTGGTCACGTCGCGAGATTCACTTGTTCCGATTCCAAAAACTCGTTCCTGACTCAGACAACTCAGCAAAGGATAGGTTTCACCTCCTCACGTCGTGAGACCTCATGTCTCACGTCGTGAGAACGGTCTGAAGCCAAAACCAACGTTTCAACGTTCTTAATCCATCCAGCCTTCAATTTCGACTCTTACAAAAGCTTAAGGGGACCCTAATGGTCCATAAAATACTTGCTTCATGGAAATGCATGCACCATGCATGTCCCTACACCATTTTAAGTCAAAAGTAGAAATATGGCCTCAAATTCTCATGCAAGCCTCTAATACTTCACCAACTTCCAGATCTGAATGAAATAAGACTCAAAAGACCATTTGAATCCATAAAGTTGCTAACTTTATGGATCTCCTTCACTCCAACTAGCTACAACTTAAAGAAATGAGACCAAAAGCCTAGATCTAACCATGAAATGAAATAAAGTTTGAGTCTTGGCACTTACAAATGGTCCAAGAAGAAAAGAGCTGATGATAATGATCGTTCTAGAAATATTTAATAATATAAGCATTTCATTCTACCAATCTAATCTTTGACAAAACATTAAGAAATAATTTCTATAAATAAGTTTTTACAATGATCTTATTCAAAAATTTCTATTACGATTTGAATTTAAAATCTCAAACCGTAGTTGGATTTATTAAATAAAAGGGGTTTTCCCTCTTGTAGGCTTGGGGAGTGGAGTTTTCACTGTGGGTAAGCTGCTTTAAAAGCTGCATCAAACAAAGTAGCAAAACATGAGAAAAGCGTGCATGGAAAATCAACACACGTTTATACCCTTTGCATTTGATACTTTTGGTTTTCTTGCGCCAGAAGCTGTGGAGCTACTCAATAGAGTCCAACGAGTCTTGCATAGTAATGTTATGACTCCAAGATCTATAGATGTTTTTAAAAGAATTAGTTTTTTCATCCAAAAATGGGTTGCGGCACAGTTTGTTGCTGATTTACCCGCTACGCCTATGTAAATCTTTCTTATGAAACTTAAAATGGGTGTATACTTAATTAAATCACAATAAAAGGTAAATTTGATATTATTAAGAATAAGACTCGATTAATATAAACTTGTATATTCTAAAAAATATATATTCCAAATTAAATGGAGCTTATAGTGTATTCTTAAAAAGAACCATATTCAGTTTGAGAAATCACATATAATAATTGCAAAAAGAAATACGTTACATATTTTCAAAATACTATAAATAAAATATATCTATAAAATTTTGTTTGTTTTAAAGAAGCACCGGGTTTAAATTTTGGGAATTATTGGGGTGTGGGGGCAGACACGGAGAAACCGTGGTCTGAAGGGCATTGAAGCTTCTTTCCATTCATTTCATTTGCAGATTTGTTGTGATCAGACAAGTTGCAGACTACCCCTCAGTACATATGCCCACCCTCGTATTATATACTTTTGCCTATCAACTTAAAATTCACAGTTAATTTCTAACTTTTTTCATCTATCTATCTCTCTCTCTCTCTCTCTCTCTATATATATATATATATATATATATATATATATATATATATATATATATATATATATAAACAAGATCATATGAGAACTCTTTTTTCAGAATACAAAATCATAAATAAAGCATAACACTATATTGGAAAGAAAAAAAAATTGAAAACAAAAATGGATCATAAAAATTGAATCATAAATCATTTTTACGATCCATGATTCACCTTTTAAATGTGTTTTCATTTTTTTTAAGGTGTCCTCACCGAACTGGCTATATAATATATATATCTATATATATATATATATATATATATATATTATATATATATATATAGAGAGAGAGAGAGAGAGAGAGAGAGAGAGAGAGATAGTTTCAGGTGTTTTAAGTAAGTATTGTGTTCTTGTATGCATAAATGTGGGTCAATCAAAATTTTAACTATAAATAAATAATTAAATAAATAAATAGGGTAAATATGTAATTTGAAACTAGTTTCCACAACACTAATCTCCGCTAACTATGGTAACCATGACTTCCGCTACTAGGCTTTTTAAAACCACCGTAACCCTAATCACCCCTCTCCAGCCGTCACCTCCATCCTTATGCCTCCCACCACCGGACGCCACCCTACCCTCTTGCTCCTCCGACCGCCGTATCCACCGCACTTCTGTCCCAACTAGATGGCGAGATTGGCGCAACCACACCACATCCCTTTACCGACTTTCATAGACGTTTTGGAGAAGCTCTCTCTCTCTCTCTCGTCATCTTTATTGTTCGCTGGAAAAACCAAAGAAGAAACCGGAGGCTGCTGCCTCCGATCAAGCCTCACCGGCCCTCCTATTTGACAAAAAAGCAAGCCAAGACCCCATGCATCATGTCGATCTTGGCTACAGGAGCGAAAAAGAAGAGATTGAAAGAGTTTTTTTTTTTTTTTTTTTTTTTTTTTTTCTGGTATTGCTCCAATTATAGGTTTCATATATCCCTTGTGAACACTACTAATCACTTCATCGACCATCTCCATCTTCTTTGTTCAAATTAGGGTTCTTGATTTCAGTTTTTCATTTGTTTTTTTTTTGTTTAATTTTCCCAGGTGAGTTTCAAATTAGGGGTTTCTTTATTTCATTCTTGTTACATTGGTATGCCTGAGTGTAAGCTTGGACTGAATGATAGAGTAGATAATATTGGAGGCACAGGACGAACTACAAGGTAAAAGCCATTGACTTGGATGACATTAAGTTCCACCAGTAATTTTTCATTTTCTTTTAAATCTTATATCACATATATTATATATATAGATAGTTTTTCATTTTCATTGACTTGGATGACATTAAGGTCCACCAGAACAATATCATTTGTGCCTCCCGATGGAGCATTTGACGTGATGACATATCGACTTAGCACTCAGGTGAAGCCTTTGATATGGGTGGAAGCTCAAATTGAAAGGCATTCAAGAAGCCGAATGGAAATTATGGTAAAAGCTAGGAGTCAATTCAAGGAGCGTAAGTTCTTGTTGCAAAGGTTTGATCATCTCCATTGCTTGTCTTTTTTCTGATTCTTTTGACAGGAAATGATTAATTTGCTTTTCATTCGAATTTTTTTTCCTGATTTAACACTTCATTTATGTGGACAGTGTAGGATCTTGACAAGGTTGAATTCTAAAAATGTATCAAGTATGTTTATGTAGATGATTCAATGGATGGTATTGGTGAGATTCCAATTCTATTGGAATGGAATCACGAATTCCAATTCTGTTGGAATGGAATGACGAATTCCAATTCTGTTGGAATCACAGAAGTTTGTGCTTGAAGAACAGACGACAAATTGAAACGGACCACAATTCTGTTGGAATGGAATGACGAAATCCAATTTTATTGGAATCACAGAAGTTGATGCTTGAAGAACAGACCACAAAATTGAAACGGACCACATTATTCTTTTAGAATGTATTAGTCGTTGTTAGGTTTTAATGTTTTCTTTCCCGTTTTGATTGTTTTTTAGTTTTATTCTTTAACAATAAATGTAATTCTTAACAATTGTTACCCGTATTCTATAAGAAATAATGCATTTTTTGTTTTTATTCTTCAATTGATTGTTCAAGAGTTTGTTATTCTACAAGAAGTTTTTAAATTAATGATCAAGAAATAGGTTCAAGAATATTTTTTTTATTTATGGTTCAAGAATATTTTTATTTTGAATATACTCATAAACATATTCTGTCAGAATGTCCGAATTAAAAGAATTATAATTCGTAAAATCGGATTTTTAAAATTAATAGAATCTATAATCCCTTAAAAAAATGTAATTTTCCTTTATTAAATCTATATTAATTGACTAAATTACCTTTGTAATTAATTAAGATGATATTTTCAATTATATTTAATTCAATAATATATATTAATCACTTTCTTAAAATAAGTAAATTTGATTGGCTTACATTTATGCATACAATAACACAATAATTACTTTGAATAGAATACCCTTATATATATATAATGGAAATGTTATATGGACAATAAAAAAACCCTAAAAATCATAAAAATGCATAAAAAATACTTAAAGATCACAAATCTTTTTTTTATTGAGATTATATTCTTAAAAATCACAGGCTTTATTATAAATTCACTGAAAAAAAAATTAAAAAATGAATTCTTATTATTTGTTTTTTTTTTCAAAAAAAAAATTCAACGAATTTATAATAAAACTTGCGATTTTTAAGAATATAAACTAAACAAAAAATTTGTGATCTCTAAGTATTTTTTTATGCATTTTTATGATTTTTAGGGTTTTTTATTTTCCATAGAACCTATATATATATATATATATATATAATATATATATATATATATATATATATATATAATAATATATATAGATATATATATATATAGACACACACACACACACTAGATGTGTACCCGCGCAAAACGGCGATGATAAATAACTCTTTTGGAGAATACTTTTTTTTATTAGAAAATAAGTATTAGATTTTATTATTAGTTATTATGTAAAAAAAATAACACGTTTAAATAAAATATTTTTGTTTAGACCTTATGTTTATATTGCATGTTTATACATTTAATGTAAATTAATTAATATTGGTGAGTAGTTTAAGAAATTTAAATTTATTTATATACATGAATTTAATATTTTAAAATTATCATTTTGCTCCAAATTAAATTTCTTAATAACCTTCCTTAATTCAAGTATTCAAACTTTTGACAAGTATTAATGATAATTATACATAATTGATTTGTACAAAATGCTTTGAAACTTATACCTCTTAAAATTCAAGATATGATTAATATGCTTTATAATATATATATATATATATATATATATATATATATATATATATATATATATATAGCTTATCTATATTATGTGAATATGTGAAGGTGGGTTCTAGGATATTATTATTATTATTATTATTATTATTAATTATAGTAGATGTATATATAAAAAAGTAAGAACTATCTTATTATTTTTAAAAGAACTACCAAATAATTTAAAAAATATATCAATGAACCCAGTTACATTATGCTGCCATTCGTCCCTTGATCCACCGACCACAATCAATCCATAGGTTTAAAATCTTAGATTCCTTGTATACGTAACAAAGTGAGTGATCAATTTGTAAGTGATAGTTTATTGTCATACATTGAAAAAAAATGTTTTAAAAAATATCGATGACGACCAAATTATGAATATGTTTCAAGATATAAGATCTCATATGGTTAAATTGTCAGAACTAGGGGTGAACATTTGGACCGGACCGGACTGAAACGAATCGGACTGACTCTTGGATAGGACCGGTTTTGGAGAATATTGTGGACCGTGGACCAGAACTGATGAAACTTACCGGGTCCAGGTATGGGTTTTTCGATTCTTGGACCCGTTTGGACCGGTACAACTTTACATGCATACGGTACAACTTGTTAAAATGCGATTTTTGGGTTTGATACAACTCGTTAAACGAATATGTTGTTGGGTTTGATTCGTTACAACTCGTTAAAATGAATAATTTTTTGGTTTGATATTGTACAACTTGTAAAAATAAATACGTTTCCGTTTCTTGTGCTCTTTGGACCGGTCAAATTTTGATTGTTTATACTTTATACCATTTGTTTGAAGGATTGTAACTCATTGAATATAACACCAAAAACAACAACATTATAGTCTAAACTCATTTACAAACTTTAATTACACGTTGGAAAAAACCGCATGTAAGTCCGAGTTAAAACGAGTAAGATATGTTTGTTTAAAGAATTTCACAGAATATAAAAGTTTAAATTTCTTGCCGAATAGCTGAAATATTTCAACTTTGATATCTCATATTTGAATGATTGTAGCTCATTGAATATAACACCAAAAACAAGAAAATTATAGTTTAAAATCATATACAAACTCTAAATTACACGTTGAAAAAAAACTGCATGTCAATCCGACTTAAAACGAATGAGATATGTTTGTTTAAATAATTTCACAAAATAGATTTTTTTTTAAAATAAGCCGGTCCAAAACCGGTTTTTACCCGGAACCGGCCGGACCGGACCGGTAAAAAAACCGAACCAGTTTTGCTCAAATCTTAGAACAGAGAACCAGCTCGGGGGTCCAGAAAAACGGTCTGGTCCGGTTCACTAGTGTGATCCACGGGTCCAAATGCTCACCCCTAGTAAGAACTTTATCAGAACTATTGAAGTGATGTTTAAATATTCTAAGACATATAACTTGACCCACCACCACCAGAACCTTTTACTCTTTCATATTTTTTTTTTCAATTTCATTTACATTAGGAACCACGGGTTTTTGGTTTTAGATTCGTCAATGTGTGTGTATATAATAATATATATATATATATATATATATATATATATAATATTATATATATATATATATAAGGGAAAAGTGAATATACCCTTAAGGGTAATAAGCTTATGTACCCAAACCCACCATAATACGTCGTTTTGTTTGATATATTCATTATAAAGTTCTTAAACTTCAACCCCTAACTTGATTTTACTTTCGAGATTTACGAAATTTTCATTATTATCTTCCTCTTACATCACATCTTATGCCGAATACCTACTAGGCTACATATATAATAGTTTTAAAAATAAAATTATGTACGAGGAAGATAAATGTAAAATTATAAAATCTTGGAATTAAATCAAGTTAGAAGTTGAATTAGAAGAACATTGGACAATTACAATGTGTATATGTGATACAAAACGACTTAATATGATGAGTTTGGGTACCTAAGTTTATATACCCTTAAGGGTATATTCACTTTTTCCCAATATATATATAGATATATATATATATATATATCTATATATATATATATATATATATATATATATATATATATGTGTGTGTGTGTGTGTTTGTGTGTGTATAATAATATGTTTAATATGATGAAATGAAATCATAAATTATGGTCTTATGCATATTAACTATGTATAAATTAGTCGAATGTATAAATTAGTCAAATATTTGTGCGTTGCGATGAATAAAACTATATAGTTAAATTGTTTGTATTTATATATTGAAGATAATAAGACATTAACCATAAAATAAAAGTTTTACACCAAATTGATATATTAAGTTGTAACTATTTTAAACTATTATATATATATATAATATATATATATATATATATATATATATATATATATATATATATATCAAATTTGTATCATTTAATATCATTACCCCGCAGTTTACGTTAAATAAACTAAAGATTATTTTTGATTTAGTTAATTAATTAAAAACCATTTATTTGGAAAAAAAATGTTAAAAAAATAGTTTTTTTTATAATTTTTATTTAGTCGAACTTGTCATTTTACATTTATAATATTTAAACCTTTTAACTATTTTGAAAATAGTATTTTAATATATTTTTTAAGTTTATGTTATATTTTGATTTATATTTTAGATCTAACTTAATATTTAAACTAACAAATAAATGTATTATAGTAATCATTTTAAAAGTCTATCAATAATATGATAATATTTTATATTTAACAACATATATTAAACTAATAGATTAAATATATTAATTTTGATTTTTGAAAGATCATATAGAATTTAATTCATATAATGAAAAATGACTCGTTTATAGTGTAATATAAGATTATATGATATAATATGATTTTCTTTTGTTAAAAAGATATTATGTCATTATCATTAATAATAAAATGATAATTTTATTTTTTAGTTTATATAAAACGTTGTAATAATTGTGAATCAAACGATAATCAGAATCATGTAATCAAACTATATTTATGAACCCTTTGTAAAACTTTGATCGTGATTAGGGGTATAATAGTCTGAATCACAATCGTGGTTTTTAATTAAAATGTTGTTAGACAATTTTTAGTTAATTTTATATTTTGATTTAGGTTTAAATTTTAAGAACTAGTTATTTTTAAAATAATCTTTGTTTATTTATAAATTTGTTTGAAATTTCGATTTATGTACATATTACATTTAATGTCATATTTGAATTCACTAATTAAGTATACTAGATTGATATTTTTAAAGTTATATAATTAAAATGATAATGTTTATGTCTAACATCATATTGAAATTAATAAATTAAGTATATAATAAGTTAAAAGTTGAAGACTAGTTGTATTTAAAA